AATATCTCTTCACCCGTCAAAAGAAAAGGAGGTGGATCTGTCACAACCTTATTCTTCCTGAAATTTATTTTGTTCCGTCTCCATGGATGATCTAGCGATAGAAACCTGTGATGACAGTCAAACCAACATGATTTCCTTCCATATTTCAACTGAAATGATTGTATATCATCCATGCAATATGGACATGTCAATCTTCCATGAGTACTCCATCTCGATAACATTCCATAAGCCGAAAAATCGCTTATAGTCCACATCAAAACAGCCTTCAATTTGAAATTCTCTTTCTGTGAGGCATCGTATGCATCAATTCCACAATGCCACAGCTCAAGTAATTCTTCGATCAAAGGCTGAAGAAAAATGTCAAAACTTTTCTTCGGATGCTCCGGGCCCGGAATCAAAACCGTCAAGAATAAGAACTCTTTTTTCAGACACATATCCGGAGGTAAGTTATAAGGAAACATAACAATAGGCCACAACGAATATTGTTTTCCCGATTAACCATACGGTGCAAACCCATCTGTGCATAAACATAGATAAACATTTCTATATTCTGATGCAAAGTTCGGATATACCTCGTTAAAATTCTTTCATGCATCACCGTCAGACGGATGACTCATATTCTCAGGATCTAATGTATGTTCAGCATGCCACCGCATATGTGAAGTTGTTTGATGAGATTCACACAATCTTCGCAGGCGATCTTTAATCGGTAGATAAAACATCCTTTTGTAAGGAACACGGTTGCGTTGACCAGATTTTTTCGCCTTATATCTTTCAACTCCACAAAATCGACAGTTGTCCAACTGGTTAGATTCTTTCCAAAATATCATACAGTTGTTAGGGCATACATCGATTTTTATCGATTCCATTCCCAACGATCCCATCAGTTTAGACATATCGTAATACGAATCTGGAGCGTTATTACCTTGGGGAAGATAATCATTCAGCATCTGACAAACTTCATTCATGCAGTTCTCCGTAAGATTATAACTCGTCTTCATCCCCATCAATCTAGCAGAAACCGATAGTTGAGAAAGCCCTTCTTTACAACCATCATAAGTAGGTTGGTTCGCAGCCTCCAATAGATCGAAAAACTTTTTCGATGCCTCATCCACCGGATCTTCTGTAACCTGATCATTATATTGAGATGGAAATGCATCTTGAACCATCTCAATATATGAATTTGGCTGATCATAGACATCAGTATTTCTCACGGATATATTCTCATCAGAAATTTGAAACGTCTCACCATGATAAACCCAGACGTAATAGTTAGAGACAAAACTTTTTTTTCCATAGATGTCTCATCACAACTTCTGGAACTTCTTCTCTCTCGTTTTTACATCTTCGGCACGGACAATATCTTTCCTCTCTGAAGAAAAATATGTTGATTTGTTGCAAACTCCAAAATGTAATGCGTAGATACATTACCCGTAGAAGGATTTACTCTTTCGTACATCTACTTTCTTGAGTAATAAATATTGTTATTACTCGACGCCATTTTTTGAGTTTTTTTTTTCGGGTGGTATAATGAAAATAGAGTGACGCAATTTCATCACTAAAATAACAAATAGTGACGCAATTGCATCACCAAAAAAGAAAATTGTGACGCAATTGCGTCAAAAATTATGACACAATTTCGTCACCAAAATAATGGTGACGAAATTGTGTCAGTAAATGTGAATGACGAAATTGCGTCACCAAATAGTGACGCAAGGATGACGAAAGGGTGACGAAATTTCCGTGCGTCATTTGGCGACGCAGTTTTGCGTCATAACTATGTCACCAAATGGTGACGCTGGGTTTTTCGTCACCAGATTGTCACTAAATAGTGACGATTTGATAACGCTTGTGTTGCGTCACTATTTGCGTCACCAATTCGTCACTACTGCGTCACCCTTTTAGTGACGCAAAAATTGCGTCACTTTTTTGTCACCCTTTTCGTGTTTCCTTGTAGTGTATTCCACTAATCTTATCAAATAGGTTAAATATAAGTATAGATAGAAGTATATATTTGAGCAATTGGAACACGTGACCCCTTAGTTTTTTATTACATTTGATTTTAACAGAAAGTTCAATAGATTTTTTTTTTGTAAAGGAAACTTTAATAGTTTTTATGGCTATTTTTTATGGAAAAAATTCTAAAAATTTTCAAACTTTTAATTTGGTGGAATAATAATTATTATACTTTTTGTTGTGTCTAATTATTTTTAAATTTGAAAAAAGTGATTCAAGAATTCCTAATATTGTATATTGTTGTCATATAGTCTTTATCTAAATTGACCAAAATAATATTGTTATAGAATTATACGTGGTGTCATCACAAGCCATAAACATATACGATTCACTATCAGCCAATAACAGTCAAAGATTTGTCTGACATTTTAAAACAAATTTAGCAATTATTTAGTCATTTTTTTAAATTTAGAATAATTAGGTACAATAAAAGTATAATAATTATTATTCCACCAAATCACTAGTTTGAACATTTTTAGATATTTTTCCATTTTTTTATCTCCTGTTATTAAAAAAAATACATTCATTAAAACATTTTTAGATCTATGAGATTTTTTCCTTTTGATTGGGTTTAAATTTTTTTTCGATTCTTTTAACTAACTAAATAGTTAACGAGCTTCATTTAATGTCATTTGTTTTTTATTGGAGACGAATCCACCTAACGTAGGGACGATTTTTAAAGGTTGTGTGACCTCTTATTGCGCAATAATTTATTGTTGTCGCTATCTAAAACGTGATCAATGTTTGATTTTCCTAATTATTTTTTTCTTTTTCTTTTTTGTGTGGTTCACCGAAAATCACTATGGGGCCCGCATTTGCAGTTTTTATACAAACAAGATTTTGTCAAAAATGGAAAGGTTTTTTTTTAGCGGTAGGGAATCAAGAAAAAGAAATATCCACATGGTGGAAAATAAAAACTAAAATGAAATAAATAAATAAATAAACAGTTGGTGTGATGGCTTCAACGTGCACGTTTCACATACCAATCATGCAATAAAATCGAGAACACGAATGCACATATACCTTTACACTCAATCCTACTATATTATATATATATATATATAATATGCATATATATATATATATTCCAATATTTTTCAAGTTGGTTAATGTTCCAAAGCTGTTAGTAAAGATGTCTCGTCTACTAGTTAGTTGATGCATAAAAATAAAATCATGAAATTTCGTGTTTCTATTGCGCCATATTATTTTTAAAATTTGTACAAAATCATGTGAATTTTTTTCTATAAAATTTCGAATAGAAAACATTGTGTATTGATAAAATCCCATATACGAACATGCATGTCCACTTAGAGATTATATTAAACGTGTATTTATGGATGATCACCTTAGGATTTTTATTAATGGTTCCGTCTAGTGCTTGGTTTCCAATTGGAGTGGAGAAGATATATATCATATTCCATTTTTGGTTATAGTAAAGATACAAAAGAACACGTGGATTGATACTTTTAAGTGAAAAAAAAGGGACAAAACAGTTAGTGAGGTTGAAAAAAATGGGGACCAAATATTCGAATGAAGCCAAGTCGAAGGTCGTCCTTTACAGACAGCATCTTTGTAGAAGGCCCTATGAAATTTAATGAGCCCATATTCAAAAATAATTTGTTTTAGCATATATATATATATATATATATATATATATATATATATATATATATATATATATATCAAATGAAAAGAGTAATATAGTGTACATTATTTATAAAAGAAAATCAATTTCCTTTCTTCGTATTTATGGATGTAACAAAATAGTCACCTTTCGAATACTTTTCAATCGTTTTTCCGTAATTAATTATTTAATTTCTATGCAATAATCATATGCTTGATGTCCCCCCC